TATTTTGTTCCTCAAAATAGGAGGAAATCATATCTTCAGGTTTGCGGAATCATCAGAGAGGTTTCCTGGGCCACAAAAAGATAACTCTGGGTTGACTGCAGACTTGGGGCTGCAAGTTGCCCACTCTTGGCTAGCACAATCTGCCTTTCACAAGGTTATTGTGATAAATGCTTTTTTGTTCTGAACTGAAAGACACCTCGAAGAAAATTTGTTGTTGTTGTTGTTAGTTGCGAAGTCGTGTCCAACTCATCTTGACCCCATGGACAACGTTCCTCCAGGCCTTCCTGTCCTCTACCATCTTCTGGAGTCCATTTAAGCTCACGCCTACTGCTTCAGTGACTCCATCCAGTCACCTCATTCTCTGTCGTCCCCTTCTTCTATTGCCCTCAATCTTTCCCAGCATTAGGCTCTTCTCCAGTGAGTCCTTCCTTCTCATTAGGTGGCCAAAGTACTTGAGTTTCAACTTCAAGATCTGGCCTTCTAAAGAGCAGTCGGGGTTGATCTCTTCTAAGACTGACCGGTTTGAACGCCTTGCAGTCCAGGGGACTCGCAGGACTCTTCTCCAGCACCATAGTTCAAAGGCCTCAATTCTTTGGCACTTAGCCTTCCTTATGGTCTAACTTTCACAGCCATACATTGCAACTGGGAAAACCATACTATACATACTTTAGTGGTATTTAAAGGTTTTCACACATGCAACTGAACTTTCACTATTTTTATTTTGAACAATAATCTCCCCCAAAGTCACATCACACTGTTTTTAAAGTACGCCTGGGTTTCAGCCATAGCTTACTGTAATTTTTGTGGCATGAAAACTCATCCAAAGACCTGCTAGAGCCTCAGTCAGTGTTATGTTTGTGTAGTTAAGAAAGCCTCAAAGGATAGCCAAGCTGAGCACTAAATGCTCGGAGCTAGGAAAGAGAATTGTTAGGGCTGCAGCAGCGCGGGGACTAGCAAGCAAATGATACATCTGCTTAGCAAAATAGACCTGATGAAGTGCATTTCTCCAGGAGCCAACATGTTCATTCATTCTCCTTCATTAAATTTTGAACTGCTTCTAAATTTAGAGCACCAAGCAACATGGGCCCATAAATCTCAGAGAGCTGAACTTTTTTTCCCCAAATGATATGAATGTCAATGTAGACATCAATAATAATTTCATTATAGACCGTACCCAAATTTATTTACGGGATTCAGAAATAACAACTGGGGTGGAAAAATACTTATCAATGCCCCAAATTCAAAAAGTTAATAAATTCCTCCAATGGGTTCCCTCCTTCCATATTATTCTAGATGATGGGCAGCTATATACATGTTTGGAATGAATAAAATAAAATAAAAATTCTGTCTGTCGAAGTGTCTTTAATCTCTGCAAAGACTGATAAAGTCTTGTCTGAAAAGATTTTGGTAAAGGATTTTCAATGCTGGGCAGTCAAACTAACTAGCATTACAGCAAATGAGAAGATCATCCTTCCTGTTACTAAGGTTTAAAGTGCAGAATCTAATAATTCATCCTTAATGATTGTAGGACACTCTACTTTTGGTTATGTACACTTCTGAGTTTTTATTTTTCAATTTCATGTATCTTTCAACCAACCTAAAGTGTAAAATATTATGGCTCATAAAGCTTTTTTTTTCCTTAGAAAACACGTAGCTAGTGTCATTTTCTCTCTTACAGACTGTAATATAAGAATTATCAACAGTTATTAGTATCTACTATATTTTACCTTGGTTCACACAAAAAGTCAGTGCTTTCACCGTCTGCTCTCCAAACAAGCCATTCCCTGAAGGAAGGATGGCAGAACATCCGTGTCTTGTCACGCCTTTTTATCAGAAAGCCTGACAGGGCCTCCATCCTCTGTGAGAACTCTTCCCACTCCTGTTCACCATGTATCTGGCCAGCACTAATTGCTTGGAAGATCTGGTCATCTGTCATTGGGTGAAGGGATGCTAGAGCCACATTCAGCACCGGCAGGGCTCTTTCGAAGGCCGAATTTGTCATGAATTTCATGTTGCACTGAAGCAAATAAAGCTCAGAAAGAGATACTGGAACTACTTTGTAACTTGCACTTTTAATCACCAGGTGACCCTTCTGGAAGAGATCTAATGTCAATTTCAGATAGAGATAAGATCCCATGCTCCTCAAGATCAAGTGGTTGCTCACTTTCCCAATAGTCGCGGCATCAACTTTTCCATTGAGGGAAATATTGTTTACTATATCCTGGCTGGCATTGATCCTGTACTGAATATATGCATTTAAATCAGACTGTACTTCTTTGTTGTCTGAAAAATCATCCAAGGAGATTGTGAAGAAAGGATGTGAGCTGGTTATTTCCTGCATTAGAGAAGGAAGAAGAAATAAGTACTTTGCAGCACTTGTCAAACTTCATAATTATAGCTATTGATTTTAAAACCATGCTAAATTAAAGCTGGTGAAAGTTGTTTAAGTGAGAATCAGAAAGGTTTAGCACTAGTGCAATTCTTTGGTCTAACAATACCTCTAGTCATTTCCTGTATTCATATAGACAATTAAATATCTTAATATCGAACAAAACAAACCCAGATTTCTTATATACACGAAACAAATTAATGCATTTATTCTAGTCTGCATCAACGGTTTTATATAAAAAAAAGCATTCAAAATATTTTATTTGCACTCAAAAATGGTAAACTTTGATACAGGTCAAGTTTAATAACTTAACAGTGATTGACCCTAACCCTATTTTTGTGACCAAACAAGAGTTTCTTAAAGCTAAAGGCCCAATTTACAATAACAAGGAGATATACAAAACAATGAGACATCTTATGTTCATGAAAAAGAATTGGAACTGGGATGCTTTATGCTTTAATAGGGATCAATTATTTGACGTTCTGACATACTGTACCAATAGCCTTCCTGATTAGGCTCCTACCATGGTCAAGACTGGATAGTGAATCCTGCTCTAACCTGATCCCTAGCACTCTTCAATTCAGAGATTTAGAGTCTAGATCTTGAAATCGGATTATATTGGAGAAAAGGAATTTAAAAAATAAAACTTTGAAACCACAGATGTTTCATAACAAAAGAGAAAATGAGAAGAACAACAGAAATTCTAGCTAAAGGACCTGTGTGGGACTTGCATCAGGTCACTGCAGCTGTTTCAGAATGCTACACCACTCTCTCAGCTGCCACGTTTTAGATTTTGCTAAGCATCCTTGTGAGTCAAACTGATCCACAGTGGCATTGGTGTGGAGCAACATTTAACTACACAATGAAAATGCTTGAATACAAATATTACAAACCCACAACAAATACACTATGACCTTTTGTACAAACCTCCACAGCGTATAAACTATGATGATGGCCATTCCTAGGTATGTGTGATTTGTAACAGCAGAAACTGTCACAAGAATTCAGATTAGTCCTTCCAAGTAAAATTTTCTGTTCTGAGAGTACAATGTTATTAACAGAGCAAAAACTATACCACCATTTGCTTAAATATTACCTGGAAGTTTGTTCTTACGGTCACGATCAATTTTAGCCATGGTGGAAATTTAGAAATAATATTTGTGATGAATGAAGAAACTGTATCCCCATAATCAGGTTTATGAAATTCAGCTTCATTTAAGCCATCTACCAAAATGATGCATTCTTCTTCTGAAATTTTCTGTTCTGAAGGACACGATTGTGAAAAAACAAAAGAGGTAAGAACATTTATTAATATATTGCAGCAATGTGATTTCTGGTTAGAAAAACAAGTATTCATGTCCCTTCATTTTCATATATGGAACACAGGATGAAGCAAATAATAAAAGGCTATTTCCTCTTGACACACCTAGGCCTACTAATTTAAATATAAAAAGTGCATTTTAACTATTTTCTAAGAAACCTACACTGAACATTCCTTTACTAAAAAGTGACATAGCTAAATGTTATTTTACTGTCTATTAAAGGGGACTTCTTTCTAGTAAATCAGATCAATCTATTCAAATGTTTGCCATGAATCTACTATTCTGAAGTTAAAAGAGCTACCCACAAAGTTATTCTATTTTAATAAGGTAGATAGTTAATAAACTAGATTTTTTTAAAAAAATAAGTATTTTAATTTTAAAAGGAAAAACTAATGTCCCACTCTGCCAATTTCCCAGAAACGTACTCATACTTTTGAATAGTTAAAATATTTTTAAAAAGAAAAAGTCCTTTACATGTTAATAGAAATACTTAAAATAGTTCACTCAAGCAAAATGTTACATTTGGCAATAGTACTAATTTAAAAACTGACAACAGATTCCAAGATATTTATTTATAAGAAGGCAACATGCTTTAATGTGCTTTCATCCCCGGAAAAAGTAGCTCCTACTTGCCCAAATATTTATAGCGTGTCTAGTTTATGTTATTTCTTATGCAGCAGTATAATCTATCAACATATTACAAAAGTTCTCAAGGTGTGATATCTTTGTTTTTGTTCTATTTGTAAACATTACAGGTAATCCCCGAGTTACGAGCGTTCACTTAACGCTCATTCAAAATTACGTGATGAGCGCCCCCTAGTACTTACAAGCAAATCCCGAAGTTACGAATATTGCAGCACCAAGGCAGTCGTTCGCCCTTACGAGTGACTGCAGTGGCTCTGCAATATTCACTCTGGTTATTCCTTCCTTCCCCACCCCCTCCCCGGGTCTCCCTAGGCACCAGGCCTTCAATACTCACCCTATGAAGATCGAGATCCTCTGCTTTCTTGGCTGCTCCAGGCCTTCGGTGCGTTCACAGAGAATGAAGGCCTAAAGTAACGCAAGATCATGTGAGATCAGTGGGGTGAGATCTCACGCTACTGATCTCACGTGATCTCATGGTACTTTAGGCCTCTGTTCTCTGCAACAGAGAATGGAACCGAAGCTGGGGGACACTTCCTCGTTCCTCTGGATCTGGGCTCCGGAGGCGTTTTCCAGGCCCGATCAAGCTGGGGGGGGTGTCCTGCGGAAGCATTCGCCGCCCTCAGATCCAGGTGGCAGCGGCCTAGAAAAGGCCTCTGGAGCCTGGATCGGGCCGCAGGGGGCACAGAAGCGTACCCAGGCTTCAGATCCAGGCAGCAGCAGGAACCGCAGCAGAGAGGAGACGGATCTTTTCCAGGTGAGTCCGGCGCGGCAGGAAGGAAGGGGAAAGCATGCGGTATCTTAGTGGGTCAGGGAGCCTTGGGGGCCTGTTCCATCACTGGGCCCTCCTGGTCTTCCCCACCCTGAGATACTCATGTTCGCTTAACGTGCTGCGTGCGTTTTAACGAGCAAGGGAGTAATCTTGTTTGAGGTACGAGATTCACTCTACGAGTTTTTGAGTTACGGGTAGAATGGGCAGGCTCCATTCCACTCGTAACTCGAGGACTACCTGTATTAAATACACATTTTAAGCACACACTATCATTAATTACAACCTATAGCACTTCTTTGTATAGAAGGATGTAACTAAAAAAGGTACAAATATTAACATAAAACAATACTGACACAAATTCTATAATTCACTAAAATGGTCAATGAGAATAAAAAAGCAACACAGCACTGAGTACTTCATACCTTCTTGAAGGAACCCAAACATCCCATTTTAAATTTACACAATGGATTATAGACCCAAAAAATAAAATAAATACTGTATTATATAGTCATTTTAGAATCTCAGGAACAATCAAGAACATTATCAAGCACGAGAAAAAAATGATAAGTGTTTTATCCACTTAGATATTTCATCAAAAAGTGGCTGGTATTTAGCTTCAATTTCTATCTAGCAGATATACTTAAATGAACGGATAGCAATTGTAGCTCGTTTTATCTAGTGTGTGGCAACCTTGCTAGAAGTATAATGGTTACAAAGCATTTCTAGACTGTGGAACAAACATCTGCACGGTACCCACTGCTGAGGTTCCATTTTGCAAATGGATGCACAGCGCCTCTCATGAATAATTCGTGTTTCCCATTATTGTATAGATCAGACAGTTTGGAAGCACACCAATAAATATATAAAACTTTTGATGCTAATGTTCATTATTAATTTAAGATGAATATATCAACTGTCTCTCTCGTATCTAATAAATATATACACAACCTGGGGAGCTCCCTGCATTCACAGCTCCTGCTTGAATAGAAAGTATCATCTGTGGCAAGACGGCCTTTGCACAACGCCATCTGGCACATTAATTGCCTTCTTTCCTAGATTTGGGGGGGGGGGCCTTCAGATAGTCATTCATGCCTTAGTCACCTTAGTTACTGAGCAGCTTTCCACGGTGTGCCCATGTAACACCTCTGCTTCATGAGCTGCATTGGTTACCAATATGCTTCCGGGTACAAGTCAAGGTGCTAATTTTTACTTATAAAGCCGTATATGACATATACATGACAATGCCATCTCTAGAACCCTTCTCTCTTGCAGCACCTGCTTTCTGGAATGGGGTTCCTGAGAGCCAGATGCCCACTGTTTAGAAGAGCTGTGAAGCCCAGGGAAGGGAAGGGAAGGGAAGGGAAGGAACGAGCAAGGAAAAGTGAGGTCCCTCACTTCTTCATGCTTGCTATCTTTTAATAATTTATTATTTATTGTAATATCTTTTGATTGTTGTGAGCTGCCCAGAGTCCAACAGCATACAAGTTTAATTAATAATAACAGTAGTTAAAGGTGCTGAGCTTGTCCAAGTTTGAGACCTGAGCACTATGCAATGGGGTGAGCTCCAGTTCCTGCTCACCTAGCAGTGCGAAAGCAAGCAAATGCGAGTAGATTAAAAGGTACCACTTTGGTGGGAACAGTGTTTTGTGTGCCTTTGGCGTATAGCTATGCTGGCCACATGGCCCCTTGGCCAAGAAACAGAGGTTAGCCCCGCGCCCTAGAGTCAGACACGACTGGACAGGGAAACCTTTACCTTTTTTTTTTTAACATCATCTCCATTCTGTTTCACTCTGTATAGTATTCGTTGTCCTCTTTCAAAGAAAGGAAAATTCTCCAGTGTTCCCCAGTCCACTGCTATGAAATACTTTATATACTTTTCCATATTGCCTACATGTTTGTTTCCCGGCTTACCTCTCCTAAGATTCACTAGTGGTTCCAACACGCCTCTTCTGAATGCTGCCACAGGATCTTGAACACAGGACCTAAGGCTAAGCATACTTTGTAGGTGTGGTTCCTTTATCAAGAGTTCTCTATATGCTGTTAACTGAGGTGACCGGCAAAGTAGAGCTGCGATACTATGCACAAATTCTGGGACAAGGCATGTGTAAGTGTTGTCAGCTTGGCAGTAGTGATAGGCAACGACCTTTAAAAAAAAAAACTGTTTAGAATTTCTGATTGATAACCACACAAAATAACGAAAAGGAGAATCCCATGCTGAAATGCACTCCAATTTTTCCTTAAACCATCTGAGACATAAAACTCGGAAGAATATTCAAACTGTATATGTAGATCTCAATGCTCTAGTTCAGGGGTTCCCAACCAGGGGTGCTCGCACCCCCTGGGGACGCGAGATGATATTCCAGGAGGTATGGAAACTTGGGTCTTCAAAATTGTAGCGTATATGCATAATTTGTTGCCCTTATTTCGAACTTTTGTAAGGGGTGCGAGAATATATCAGAAGCGTTCTAGGGGTGCAGGATATAGAAAAGTTTGGGAACCACTGCTCTAGTTTTAACATACTATCTTTAAAACTAGCATATCTTTTTCTTCAGTATGCATGCATATATTTTTACCCGTGTTTCCCCGAAAATAAGACCCGGTCTTATGTTATTTTTGCCTCCAAAAGAGGCACCAGGTCTTATATTTGGGGGGTATCTTACCCGTTTATCTTAGGACCGCCGGAGCCAGGCCTTCCCACTCCCTGACACCTTCCTCACCTCGTCAGCCCACTTCTGCAGCCGCTTGCCACTGCTCACGCACATTGCCCAGGCTTCCATTTTGCCTTCCGGAAAGGACTCTGCAGCCTAGAAACAAGCTCTGGATTGATGCATGCGGCGCCCTCAGCTTGTTTCACTGCCAGAGGCCTTCCGGAGGCCGGGGGCAATGCGCACAAGCTGTGGTGGAGTGGCCACAGAAGAAGTAGGCCGGCGAGGTGAGGCAGGTGTCAGGGCGTGGGAGGCCTGGCTGTAAGTGTCCTAAGGTAAGCGGGTGCAGGGTGCGTGGGGGAGTTCCTCCCCATCCTAGCTTGATTTTTACCTGTGCACCTCGCCCACCTTGCGCAACCAGGTCCAATGGAGTGAGTAGGGCTTATTTTTGGGGTAGGGCTTATTTTCGGGGAAATAGGGTACATCATTAGCTAAATATATCTGGCCTGCAGCGTTGTACATCTAATATAATTCACTATGCAACAGTTGAGTGATTTATTTTTATTTTTTGCAACAGCAGAATCACAATATGGCATTTTTTTTCTTAACTGTATAAATTCACCTATAAATATCTCTATAAAACATTATTTTTCTTTTCCAAAACAAAAAATCTTCTGTATTACATAATATAGCACATATTGATGTAAGAGGTTTAAAGAATATTCAAGAAACAGTTAGGATGGAGTTCTTAATTTATGCTTGGTATTTTACAGAAAGTGTTAAAAGTCCTTTGAAAGTCATGAGATGTAATTCATTTGATGGTCTGTATTTAGAAACTCATCAGTTTCATCCATTCTACAGAATATTGTCTTATTCAAGAATACATATACATTTTGCCCCCTATTATATCAACAAAACAGGACTGGGATTAGATGCAGCTAATTTCTCATCCTTTCACTTTATTTAAGGAAGCCAAAGAACTTTTTTGGCAATGCAAATTGCAAACAAAGCTCCCCACCACTAATTAGGATCAATTATTCAGCAGGAGAAAATGTTTAAAAGCTTCTACCTTCCATCCTATAATCTTGGTCAACATCAGAGATCCTGTGCTGCACACTGGAAGAATTTACTCTGTACCCAAAGCCAGAATAAATAGTTAAAGCAATAGGAAATAAACATGGCTCCTTATTAACCCCACTGGGGAGTTCCTACCAATACGTAAATAAAACCAGAAAGTTTTAGTTCATGTATTCAATAGAGTGGCAGCCCAATCCAGTGTACAGTCTGCCTTTTTGTTCATTTGTTTGCTTTTTAGCAGAAGGCTATTGGTTGCTGACAATCATCTCTATCTTTCTTTGAAAGTGTGGTATCAAAGAATTAAATCATTGTCATGAACCTCCTTTTGGATCCTCCACAGTTTAGATACATTCAGTTAGTGAACTCACAGTAGGGACATTCAATTTAATTTCAGCAATTGTACTCCATTATTCAGAAATACAGCTGAATTCCACAGAGTGTGAACCCAAGTAAGGGTGTATAAAACTATAGCTTTAATTAAATTAAAATTACATTAAATTGCATTAATGTGTGTGCTTTCTATCGAATTCTAAACATAGCATAGCACTGAGGATGACAGCATTAGGATAATAGTTACATAATATTGCTTTAAGTAAATACTTCAACACCAAAGCAAATCCTCTTTTATTTCCAATCCTTTGCAAGGCTTTCCTATTTTCACAATCCTTCCAACCAAAGTAAATGTATTAGAATTATCCCTGGTGCAATCTGCTAATTCCAGTTTACATAACTGTTAGATAAATCAGTGACGAACACACTGTAAGCTGCTAAACCCAGTGTTTTATTTTCCCCTTTTTCTTCCCAATAGATGAGGAAGGAAATTATATCGAATAAACTGGGGGGGGGGGGTAGTTCCTTTTGGAATTACAGATTAGCCCTGCCAAAGTCAGATAGAAAAAAACACCATGTTCACAAACCATGGCTTTCGTATTGTCATAAACCTGGGGGGAAAAAACCCAATTTAGTATTAAATGTGCTACCTTTGATGCAAGGCGTCTAACTGATTCATCCATTTGGTTCTGATGTTCCTGAGCAGGAGGACGGGATGAAGTTTTGGCTGGACTGGTTCCAGCTGAAGGAACCAGAGATGGGGGGAGCTGGCTGAGAGGAATCTCCTGACAAGGATCACTGGCTGCAGGGGAAGAAGCNATGCTGGAGATGTTTAGACTTCAAGAGAAACCTAAACATGGCTTGAATTTTGTGTTCTTTTCTCAGGTGTTACCAGTTATGACTCCACTATATAGCTTCTGGCTATGCTTCCCTTTGGAGTCTTCTGGTAACAAAATCTTGGCACCAGAAGTTAACTGAAACAAAGAAGTGGATTACAGAAAGGGCAAACACACATACAGACACAAACACACTTTCCCCCCCCCCGCTTCCACAAAATTGTGTCATGCTACACTGATTTTTGTTTGTATCTTCATGCTAGAATTTTTAAAACAATCACATTTTGTCACACAATCTTATTCTAAAAAGGCTACAAATGAGCAAATGGTAATAGATACCATACATGTGTGGGGGGGGGAGAGAGGGAGAGGGAGAGAAGGAGAGAGGGAGAGAGAGAGAGAGAGAGAGAGAGAGAGAGAGAGAGAGAGAGAGAGAGAGAGAGAGAGAGAGAGAGAGAGAGAGAGAGAGAGAGAGAGAGAGAGAGAGTATGACACATAATGGAGCTCAAGAGTAGTTAGAAACCAGCCAAGAGCTCAAGACAAAAAGCACTCATGCTACAAGTACTGTATGGAGACAGGATCTAACAAATAGATGATGAAATAGGACCTTTCCTTCTCTATCTTTCCTTCACATCCATTCTACCCTCTCCTTAAGTCCATCCCAGTTTCAGGGACCCGGTTAAATGTGGTGATTAGCTATGCTATGAACAGAATAGGAGGGGAAAGAATGGCAAGTTAGAAGCAGAATTTGTGCCAGGCTCTGATCATTAGTATCAACTGAATCAATTTAAATTTTGTATAAATTCATCTTGTGAAACAAAACAAATAAGTTAAGTATTGAATCTGTGGATTTGCCAGTGAGATAAGGAACATAGGATAATTTCTTCTTTTCAGTATATGATTTACAGACTTTCCACTTTTTCCCCCCTTTAATTTAGAGTGTTTATTTTCTCCTTTAGCCCCACAGAGCTCCTTGGGCATCTTTTAAAGTGTTGATCTTCTGGCCCTTCCACAATTTTATCTGTAGCTAACAGCCTCTGGCTGAAGCTCTGTGTCCTCTCTTCACACACCAGTTTTTGCATCATTTCTGGAAACAGGATAAATAGCTCCCTGTCACCAGCTGTCAAATCCATCCGGCACGTATAAGATGGCACCTAGAATCCTATCCATGTGGATAAAAGTGGCTGACATACACTGACTAGGATCTGGACGTGATCCACACACTTTTCACTGAAGCCTGCGGGAGAAACTGCTCTTCAGTTTCCTTGCCAAAACACAATCCAAGAAAATGGCAGGCGGCATCATCAGCACAATGGGTCTTTCACTTGCTCTCCCCCCCTCTTCCTTTTTGGATTCCTCTTAATTTTCTTCAGACTTTTCTTTTTCAAGCCACTTTAGCTTCTTAACCTACATCTTTCAGAACTTTTTCCAGGATCTTTATGAAAAAAAGCATACTCCAGTGTACGGAACCACATCTTCATCTCCCATCCAGGCAAATAGGAGTAATCTTCCATTAAGCAAGTGGATTGCATAGTTCATAAGGAGATGAACTTTGCAGCCAAACAACTTTCACATTTAGTCCAAAAAAGACTGTTTACAGTACCAGGTAGTCCTCGACTTACGATCACAACTTCAGCCTAGAATTTCTGTTGCTAAGTGAGAAATTTGTTAAGTGAGTTTTGCTCCATTTTACGATCTTTCCTGCCACAGTTAAGTGAATCACTACAGCTGTTAATTAGTAACAGGGTTGTTAGATGAATCTGGCTTCCCCATTGACTTTGCTTGTCAGAACGTTAGAGAAGGGGATCACATAACCCCGGGACACTGCAACTGCCATAATTACGAGTCAGTTGCCAAGTGTCTGAATTTTGATCATGTGACCCTGGGGATGCTGCAATGGCTGTAAGTGTGAAAACGGTCATAAGTCACTTTTTTCAGTGCCGCTGTAACTTCGAACAGTCACTAAATGAACTGCTGTAAGTCAAGAACTACCTGTACAAATCAAGATACAATTATAAATGAAAATTAAGCCAGAAAACACATATGTGGCAAAAACTCTTAAACATCTGAAGTTAGCAGATTAAGAAAAAAACATTCATTAATCTGCTGAAACAGAAAAGTCTTTGATGGATTCCAACTATCAAAAGTGAAGGAGATAGGGACTTCCGGTTTGCTGCCGCAGACGCTGCGGATGCTTGGAAGGCGAGCTCTGTCTTCCACGTCCGCTTTCGCATTGCTGGGGGACCCTGGAAAGGGTCGCAAGTCACCCTGTAAGGGCGACAAGCAAGGAGGAGATCCCCGCTTGATTTCAGGAGGGCGGTAGCCCTTCCGCTCGATCCGGGGCAGCCCTCCAAATCGGCGGACGAAAGACCGGCCATAGAAATATGGCCCATCACTAAGTTGCAGACAGACAAAGTCAAATTTACCACCAGGCACCTACAAAGCAGCACGGACGAGACAGGGTGAGATCTGAACCTCTCTTCAATCCTAATTATTTTTTCCACCTGTATAAGCTGCCCAAAGTATTTTCCCCCTGTGGAGAGAGGGAAGGGAAATTCTATCCCACCCTCAGTGGCGACTGACTATCCAGGGAAATTCTATCCCACCCTCAGTGGCGACTGACTATCCAGGGGAGTTTAAAACGCTGAAAAAATAACTTGATTCTAACCGGATTTTTATCTTTCTAAAATTTGAGGACTAAAAGATTTCTTATTCTTATTGAAGATTTGGGTTTTTTACTTACAAAAAAAGAAGTAAAATTGAGAAAGAATTATAAAAAATTTGGACTTAAAAAAAAACAAAAATCTTAAATGGTATGGGTGACATCTTGTGGTTAAATCTGATATTACAACTTGTTATTGTCTAAAAGAGACTTGGCTTGAAGCCCAGACCATAGATAAGACTTTTGCAACCTTGGCAGATATCAGCTGTGAGAAGCCCAGCTGTATTTTATACTCAGTGACAAAATTATTTTCATTCTCTGATTGTAAAGCTTTTAATTTAATACATTACTAAGAGAACATGGAAGAATATCAGGAACAGATTCTTTTTATGTTGAAAGCAATTTATGAAACTATTCTTACAGCCACTGATGAAATAAGAAGCTGCAGAAAAGAACAAGATGTCAGCCTAGTTATACGAACCCAAACTTTGATTACAACTAAAGAACTAACTACACAGAATATAATAGAAGAACAATTAAATATTATGATAGAAGATTCAACTGATCAACAAACAATAGAAAACCCAGAAAAGGGACTGACAACATTGAAAATGGAAAAGATGTTCTATATAAACCAAAAGAAACCTGAGGATCAAAAAGAAGAACAGACCGAAGGGAAGATAAACATTCCAGGACAACTACATCAAGATGGAAAAATAGAGAGACAATTTGTTAGCCCTTCCCAAAAAATGGAGACTGGATGGCCTTTTTTTTTTTTTATCTCAAACAACATATATAATAACAGAGGGTGAACTATTTGATGACTTAAAAGCACAGATATGGAAGGCGAGTTGGCAAAGAAAGAAAGCTAGAATAAGGCTGAAGAAAATTGGGGTTTTGACTCATTAGTGAGGATTAAAATAGAATATACTTAAATAGACAAGATGTGTACTTTGAATACTAGATTTTGTTATGGACTGAGATAAAGATTATTGATAAATGTAAGAATGTTATTTTTATTTAATTGATATAATAAGAATTGTATTAGTTTAAACATGAGACAATAAATACTAAGGGGAAAAGAGAGGAAATATTTAATGTGGTAGTTTGAGACTTGCACTAAAGATGTTTGTATGTCATTGAATTTTCGATTAACCTAGCCGCCACGTTGCTTTTTAAATACTTAAATGTAAAATTAGAAAATCAATAAAACATTTTTTTAAAAAGTGAAGGAGATAGGGAAATATTCAAAGCAGGATTCATTTTGTTATTCTGGCACCACAAGCAAGAAGGCTCATGAAATCAACTTCTAGGATAAAAAGCTTTTAACCGCAAGCCACAATTAAAATGACATCTCCTTTTATCAAACTAACCTTGGGGAGGGGATGATCACTATCCACAAATGTCAGTTGGATTGCATGATGTCAGGAAGCAAATTACATCATTTGCATCAAACAATATAACTTGTAATTAGATGTTATTATGCAAATGACATAAACAAGTCAATGACGTAATTTGCATCACGTACACAATGACAGCATCGCTCCAATGACATAAATTGTTATGGTAATTTGGAGTGTTGCGTGCAAAGCCTGTTGCAGCGAAGGACAGTAAAAGAGGCTCCCTTCCATCTTTGGGAAGGGAAAGGGAAAGGATTCAGCAGGCTGCACATGAGCAAAATTAAGATTTTCTGTGTCTCTCTGATCTTGTGAAAGAGTTTTAATGGTATTAAATATTTTAGGGCTTATATTTGCAGTTCTCATCTGCTCCCCACCTCAAAATTGGGGTGGGGAAATTTTGCCACCCATTTTGATTCTGAAATCAGAAGGCAGCTCCAGACAGCGGGGTGGGAGGGAGAGCTTCACGTACTTCTGTGCTAGGAAGCATCAAGCAGTACCTACTGAATCTCAGGCAGGTCTTGAAGATGACATACAATGTGAATACAGGTGGTCCTTAACTTAGGACCATAATTGGGACTAGAAGATCCATTGCTACCCACGATGGTTTTTAAGTGAGTTATGCCCAATTTTACCACCTTTTTTGCCATAGTTGTTAAGTGAATTGTGCATTGTGAATTGTGGCTTCCCCCGTTTAATTTAAATGTCTGAAGCCAGCTGGAAGGCGATCTCATGACTCTGGGATGCTGCAACCATCATACAGTCTGGCTGCCAAATGCCTGAATTCTGATCACGTGACCGTGGGGATGCTGCAATGGTTTTAAGTATGAAGACCAGTTGTAAGTCCCTTTTTTTAAAAGTTACCTTTGAACAGTGACTGAACCAACGGTAATAAATTGAGGACTACCTGTAGACAGGGGCTTGTCTTTCCATATTAACGGGGCGGTGATGGTAGGGGGAGAATAACAATTTTATGATTGGTTAATGGAAAGTTTACTACCCTTTAGGAACGGCAATCCATATAAGACACATTTACACAAAAAGCATATATACAGCTCCACTTTATGAATTAAATATTTTTTTCCCTTAAATAGAAAAAAAGAAATTTCAAACCTACTTTTGGGAGAAGCAGAGCTGGTGGAAGCAATTTGCCGCATGCGACCTCCATGGCAGCTCAGTGCCACAAGCTTGGAAATAATAGCCGTCTTCCCAAATCCCACATTTCCAATTACAACAGCTCCCCTCGTCTCCGTCTGCTTGGGATTCTTCAACTTTTCTTCTATTGTCTGAAACAGCCAATCTCTTCCAACAAACACAGAGTCTGTTGTTATGCTTGGCACTTCAAACAATAATGGCTTTAGCAAAATATCTTGAGGCTTATATGGGACAAAACGTGCTAAAAGAAGGAAAGACTTTATTAGAAGACAAAGCAATGAAAAAACAGGGTTGTTGTTTTGTTTTGTTTTTAAAAAAAGAACTTAAATCCTACAGAAACATCTCTAATCTGCTTTGAAATTCAATAATCTAACCCAGATAGAGTGAGTCAATTTTTTTTAAAGAAAAAAAACATATTTGTCCAGACCGTCCCATTACTCCCACATGACTCCTCCTTCCAACAGGAATACTAAACAAATCAGGAAGCTAGGCTCTTTAATGAGCTCACTAGTTTTTTCATCCAAAATGCTCTTAGTTTCAACGATCATGTTCAGTAAGCCTTATCCTAATTCTCCTGAATAAATGTGTGTTTTAAGACTTAACAGAAATGAAGGAGGATTAGGGAAAGGATGGGGATCCAGCACTTATCATATAAATTAGAAAGAGAAGAAGCAGCAGAACAAGTCACAAGATCCGAGAATACCTAATTTGAAAATAGACAGCACAAAGGGGAAAAATATGGCAGGAAATCATAAACCCAGGTATCATCATAGTCCAGTGCCAGAGGCGGCACTCAGAGCCCTCTCTGTGGGCACGCATGCTGTCGTCCCAGCTCCGCCACCCCTGTGGCCCCCTCCTCACCAGCAGCCCCCCTGGAGGAGAGTCATCCTGGGGGCAGCCTCAGTGGAGCAGCTCAGCCAAGGACATGGCAGCCGGGCAGCAGGGACAAGACTCCGCCCTCACGCCCCATCGCGTACAGATGATGCTGCGGGGTGCGGACAGAGGGCATGGCTGCCATGACGCTGCTGGGCCGCCTGGGCGATCTGCTGTGGCGGGCCGTGGAGGTGGTGGGTGGCCCTGCGGGTAGGAGGGGGCGAGGCGGTTTTTGGGCACTCGGTCTCTAAAAGGTTCGCCATCACTGTCATAGTCCCTATTTTTTTTCAACGGAAGTTCGATTTGAGGCGGGATAAATCAGTTCTAAGAAATGTCATAAAGAAGGAAACAGACTTCAATTGCACCCTCTGCAGTTTCTATTGGTAGTATTGCCTTCTAAAAAAGGATAATGATCTTTTAAATTATGGCTTTGGCATAGGTCTTACCTTTTATTTCTTGCTGAACTCTCCCTCCAGCAGTGCTGTGCCAAGGTAAGCGAATTGAGGTCCGCAAAGGAGTATTCCTCTGTCCATCCAAATAGCTCAGATCTTCAAGCTTTGTGGAACTTGTTGCTGTAACGGGAATAGCTAATCAGAAAGGTAAGAACTGAACAAGCCTGAACGAAAGGATCAAAAATACAAGTATATTCTTATGTAGCTCCAAAAAAAGGAAGCCACACTGTATGTAGTGTATCTGTTTTTCATGTTCAAGCATGGATTATAAAACCATCCTCAGATAGTAAGGGCCTTGCATGCTACCACATATTCTTATAGCGTTGCCGTAATGGGTCTTGGAAAAAGCTGATTTGCATGATGTATTAAGTATCACTCTATATTTGGATATTTTTAAGTAGGAAAAGTATAAGGGTTAAAATAAAATTAAAAAAAAACACTACTTGACCCTGTCAGTTCTTTGTTCTTAATTCTACATAAGAAATGGAGGAAGAGGAGGAAAAAAAGGATCACGATTATAAAGCCATGGTTTGAAGCTATATTCACTCTCAGGAAAATATTCAGCTATTACTCATACAAAGGAAGTTTATGTCTAGTTGTCAAGCTAAGACAAAGAACATTTCTTTCTTTGAGGAAAATGTGAAATTAATATGTTCTCTAGTATTCTTTGGAAAAACTGATATAAACAAGAAACAACAATAACAACAACAGCAGCAATGATCTTTGAAATGTTTCCTTGTCAGAACCACACAACTGCTTTGGGCAGTTTTGTCACTCTGAAAATAGAGCCTTGAACTTTCTTGAGTATGAAGTTAATTAAGAGTTAAATTACTATTCTCTATAAATATGTCAATCATAATGTCCTATGATCCTAAATTTTAAGAATTTATTATGCTTCAAGTGATTGTCGTATTATGAAATACCAGATACTCAAGACATATCCATGTTCTTCTTTTGAAGACATAATGTAACCAGAAATATTTTGTAGTAGGGAATAAATCTGTGTATGAAAGCCACTTTTACTATGTATAACTTCCTTATTTGTAAAAAAAACATTTTTCAAATATCCTACATCTGCCTAAATTGCCTGGGTCAAGGCTCCTTTCTTTCAATTAAATATATGATTTGTGGTATGTATTTTTTAATATAATGTAACATTGGAAAGGGTTTAAGACTGATTGACAATTGGGCAGTATCTGACTCAATTTTAATAGGATGGCTGACGTTCAAATCATGTATTAAACTTTCTGCTTTTCTATAATGCAAGATAGCTGAGATGAATTTTGAGTCAATGGATATCCAAAGGAGGCAAGAAAGACTTTGTGCAGCATTTGACAATAAACTATTATTGATGGTATTCCCAGCCTCACTTTTCCAAAGATAATTAATCATAAAATCTTTTCAAGAGATTGGGAAACAGACTGGTGAATCTCAGAATTAATAGCTACCTCAAAGGATTAATAAGAGGAGTCATATCAAAATAGAGAGTTCAGGTCCAAACCAGAGACCTTTTACCCAAGTCCAGGTTTTTGCTTTTTTGGGAAGGTGGAGAGGCAGGGGAGGAAGATTGCTATACAATAGCACAACCTACAAAGGTGTAACCTTCAAGAATCTTGCCATTTTAGAACTCTAAGTTATGCAGTAGAAATCCAAGAAAAACCATGGTTAACATTTATATATAAATTAGGGGAGAAACCCCAAACCTATCCAACTGTAATAAGTGGGCTATCCGTAATCATTGAAACATTTCTCATTTACTGGGTGGATCACCCAAGAGCAGAGACTGGCTAGTAACAATTAACATCTTGATATTTGTGTAATGTTTTCCAAAAGAGCTGAACACACTTTATGATATAATTTAGTTTAGAGATTTGGATAATTTCCAGTATCTTGGCATAAGGGACTATTCCCATTTAGCTCTTTTCCATTTAGGCAACATCTACCTGACTACTATGTCACATTTCTCAATTATTTCCAACTGAAGTAACAATATATATCATGGCATAGCTCCATTTCTCAGATAAACTGAACAGCAGAATTAATTTTTAAAGAGTTCTGATATACATTGTAGTAAAGACAAAAGTTCATTAATTTAAAGAGATTCCAAGTTTGTTTGCATGTCGAAATTGAAAGCCTTCAACTCTTACAACACATCCACATACAAGTCTGGGAATTAAGATATGTATACAAAAGATTTGTATACAAAAGCTGTCCTTAAACTGGAAGATTTTTTTAAATTATTCTTCCTATTAAAAAAAACAAAACTAGAAATTCTGGAGCTATTTCCAAAGATTTAAGCATCTTTAAGCATTTAAGCATCATTTAAGATTTACTAAATACTGCTATAGAAGAAAGAACAAAAACTAGAAAAATCAAAGTCAAAAATAAGAAAGTTGATAAAACACATCAGAAAAGCAAACGAAGTCAAAGTTAGCTGTAATAACGGTTGCATAAAATGACAATAATTAGGGTTTTTTTATGCATATCAGAAAATAAGGGCTTGGAAACAGAAGTAAATTTGATGAAAAGAAGAGCTGTCCTATTACTTCTCATTGTAGAGCAAGAAAGCCACGTTTTAACATTAGCTAAATGCAATTTAGCAGACAGCAAAATGCTGTTTAAGGGGAAGGGATCCACGCTGAGAGACACCAAGATGAATTATGAGCTTTGTCATTCCCACAAAGAACACAAAGCAGTTCATCTCAAAGAAGCAACACTACAACAAGCGAGAGGGAGTCCTTGAACTCCGATGCAGCTTCTTTCTTCCCTTCTTTAGAATCGCCATTCAAGGGGCAGGCTAAGATCCAGCAGCTCTTATCCATGCCTGGATTGTTCAAGCAGTGACATTTACAATGGAAAAGGCACCTCCTTGTCTAAGTGGGCCAATTGCATTAAGAGGGAAAAGAACTCCAGGGCACTCGTTTGAACTTGCGGAGCCACTTCAAGCTGGAAAGAAAATTGGAAAGCAGAGATCCATGGAAATGGGCCTCTGCCGTACACTGGGGGAGAGGAAGGAGGTCCAGTGGGGATCCAAATCTCTCTACAGAATTACAGAAGATGCAAGGTCACCTCTGGCTGACTCATTTGGCTAACAAAAAGCATGAAAGCAACCCCAAAGAGGAAAGCATCGATAGCTTTACAGAAAGTTCTTAAACTTTGTGACATTGTGATAGTCTCTAAAATGATAAATGAATTTGTGTGATCTCCCCTTGAAAAACACTCAACATTAACTAACTAAATAAAACTGCTGTGATTGGCGCGTGGCTTTGACAAACGTTTCGATCCATGGGTTTAGTCCTCTCTCAAAGGTTGCTTCAGGTTTTTGCTCCCCAGCTTGCCTAGACAAGCCCACTGCAGGTTTGCCCAGCAAAACAGAAATGAGTTTTGACAGCTGCCCTGCTTTGCCTACACAGACTGATCTCCTTTAAAAAGATCAGTTTTTAAAGGTTATTCCTCAATTTGAAAGTGACCACTTCCCTCTCTTTAAAACAGTGGTTCTCAACCTTTTTAATGCCGCGGCCCCCAACCGGTCGTAAGTCGAGGACTAAACCGGTTGTAAGTCGAGGACTACCCAACCGGTTGTAAGTCGAGGACTTTCCCTGCCTGGGAGCACCGCGCATGCATGGTTCCGCCCCCTGCGCCGGCCGAGGCGTAGCTGGCAAGCGGCAGAGACGGAGCAGGCCGACCACCAGCTGGCCCAGCCCAAGGGAGGTAAAGCACCCGCTGGAAAAGGGGAAAAAAATGGCGGACAGCCTTGCTTGGCGACCCCCGTGAAATGGTCGATCGACCCCAAATGGGGTCGCGACCCATAGGTTGAGAACCGCTGCTTTAAAATGTATTCCTCTGCAGTCTCTTGCCACATTAAGCATTCCCAAAGCTGGAGAAGGCAATAATGCAGCAACTATCCTAAGAGCAAATTCAGGATACAGTTCTTTCTTTTATGTGCAGAGTCCTGAATTAATCTTACACTCCTATGACAAGATGCAAGAGAATACTGTAAGCTGCTGGTGTGGCATGCCTGCGGCTCCCGGCCCTGGGCGACCAGTGCAATCACACTGCTTTTGATGTGTAGAACAGCAAACAGCTTCCTCTCTTGCAAACCCTACCTCTCCAATCTCTCTGCCCAGTGGGGGAAAGGAAGGGTCGGGCAAAGGAGAGATTGCCACCGAAAGATTTTTTCCTCCCCCCTACACAAACAGCTTATAGTTATTTATTTATGTTATGCATATGGCATAACAAACATTGACTTACAATATAAACTAATATTTCACCTAAATTAAAAACACATAAAATATGAATAAATACATAAAAAGGTCTATATTCAGATAGCAATGTCTAGGTCACTAACCACTGAAGCGCAGCATTGTTTGTCTAAAAAAAAAATCAGAAACTTAAGTGGTATATACCCTCAACTTACAGTCGGTCACGATGTGATCTACAGTTTGATGTGGGACCCTGCAGTCACACTGAGGCAAGGATGCTATACCCCATTTATACAGTGAATCTCAGCAGACACCGTGTGAAGTGCAAATCCTATTCAGGATTGTTCATTGCTGGCAAGGCAGAACCTAGCACCTAGGATCATCTATATACTATGTGTCTTCTTTGTCCGGGCATTGGGCAACTGATTTGGCTTATACCATTTAGCTTATAGTACTCTCTTACAGTTTCTTCCTCTCCAATCTCTCTGCTCTGCGAGTAAGGTGAGAGGAAAGGTAAGACAAAGGAGGGATTGCCTACAAAATGTTTCCTCCCCTCACCCCATAGTGGAGAGGTTACAGAGGAAGAAATTTCAAGAGAATAAGCTGTTGTGTCCAACCAGGCACAGGACAATGCATAATGGCTGTAATGGAGATCATGTGGCTCAGGGATGCTGCAAAGGTTGAAAATTGACTGCAAATTAATTTTTCCACACTGCTATAACTTCACATGGTCACTACATGAATGGTCAATAAAAGAGAACTATCTGAATATGAGCACCAACCTTATTTAATATCAACAAGGCGGGTATCTAAGCGGGGATGAATTGTAATCCCATTGCTCTAACTTTTATCTAAATGTCGATAAGATTACCTACCAAATTTCCACTTTCATATTCTTAAACTGGGAGATAAATTTGTTTCCACTTCATTATAGACAGGGTGGTAATATTATGTGGGACTCAGAAGGTCCTTTATGCAATTCTGCAGGAAGAATATATTGGGAATTAACTACCAAAAGACTAAAATCATCAGTTTGGCTAGAAGACTTGAAAGTCATGCCAGGCATATAAATAGGCACTCAAGCAATCATGTAATTTGAGCGTCATTTTTCATACATTCATTAAGTAGGGTACTTCATGCCTCCGATTTAGCCCAAAATGCTAAAATCTGTATATATTCCGTCTTCATTTCTTGCAAAAAGAAGATGATAATTCTATTCCTGCTGCCCTCAAATTATTTGCAATAAAAACATTGGCACAGATGCTGTATTATACACAGCTGGGCCATCCTCTGGTTTAGGCTTACTGAAGCAAGTTCAATCCAATGGACTGACATTTCATAGCAACCTCATCAGAAAAGCAAGGCATGCTATTGAGTGACCAATGCTTAATATACTTCTAGCAGTGTGGACAAGCTCTTCTCATTAAGGCAACAATCCTGCCCATCCATCCTATGACTGCTATATTTTTACCCAAGAATGAACTATATGAGCCATAAATATAGGGGTGAGGAATTTAAGTTATTTAGCCTTCACAAAGAAATTCATTTCATTTAAAAATAAAGACAGGCAGGAACCACCACCATCACCCTGATTTAAAACTTATAGAAACAAACAGAAGGGAATTCAGCAGGAATGGACTTGACCATATTTTAAAGTACTTTCATATATGACAAATTCTTCTTCTCAAATCAAGGGGATGTGAACCTCTGTTCCCTGACTAGACTCCTATAAAATCGCACAGGGGTGTTTTTGCAAAAACCATTATGGACATCAGAATAGTCTATAAACAGATTTATGATTTATGTTGTACTTTTGAAAGTTCCTATTGTTGAGCTCTGCATCTATCCGCCCATTAGCTGAAGAACAGATCTAAGTTTATGAGAACTGGCTTACGCTAATACAAGAGCAGCATTAAAGGAAAATGTTTTCACTTAAGTAGAACAAAATCTGGAAGGCAGTCAACATTTACTCCTTCAGTTGTTCCTTACCTGCAACAGAATTGGGTCGAGGCATTCCTAATGAGCCACAGTTTTGAATGTAAGTAATGGGGCCATCTCCAGAAGATGCTTCCACTTTTGACAAACTTTCTGAGGATCCTGTTGTCTCCTCTTCTGCAACTGGTGAGCAATTATCTGTCCTTCGGTCAATAATTCCTTGGTGTACATTAGTCCTGAGATTTCCTTCTTTAGTCCATTCTAAACTTGATCCACTCCGATCATCATTTTCAGAGGAACTTGTTACTGTCCCTAAAAACACGACAAGCAAAAATCCATAAAAATACACTCCTGGGTAAGAGTAGTACAGTTTTGGTTACACCCACAGAATCATGGGAAACTCTGAATTGACATAAGGAAAAATGATAGTTATGTGACCCATCTGGCAAGTCTACAAGTTCTTTCATGTCACTTTAAATTACAATCCTTGGGAAAATATAGGATAGTCCCTGTAAATGTTCTTAGTTTTGACTATATATACTGCACGCCTCTTAACATTCAAGAAAATATGCCATGAAAACTACTATCGTTTTATGGCGATGACTAACAAACTCAAGCACTATGAAATATGTAAAAATCTGGAGAAAGCCTTATGGTATGCTTCCATATGACAGAATTATTAAATGTTTTGATTTTTAAAAAATGGTCTTTTGATATATTATGAAACAAAACTCCCTCCTGATTCTCTAATTGAGGGAAGAGGTTTTCCACTCAAGTCTGTAACCCTGAAAAGAAGGCATCTTGCCAAATGTCCCCCCCCTCCCCTCCTTTTGGCCACTAGCCCAGACCTTTCTCTTCTTTAGCTCCCTGGAAAAGATGAAATTCTGCCTTTACTTTTTTTTTTATGTCAGAGGAGGCACAGACAAATTTCAACTAAGGCAATAAAACACCCCAAAAGAGAAGGAAAGCTATCCAAGCCAGTAAAAAGTGTGGGAGGAGGAGGGGAAGGTGGCCTTCCACTCAAAGGAGCTACTGGCCCAGAATAACTTAGCAGGAATGGAAACAGACTGGAAGCCGACTTAAGTGGCATAGAAGAACAACTATTTTCATGGTTGAGCAAAGCCTGCCCTCCCTTCACAAGAAAACCTTACAAAAGGCATACTTATTAAACTGTGTACCGAATGAACATTAATGTTAGTAATATATTTGCACACATAAAACTAAAAAAAAAAAAAAAAGTCCTGGTAGGTTTGGAAAATGAAGTCTGCTTCCCTTATCAAAATAGATGCAGAATAAGTAGATCTATAAGGAACTTGTGTAACATTTCATTATTAGTTTTGTACTCTTTGAATGCTGTGAAGTGACTTGAGGGTCGTATGAATGAAAACACGAGAAATAAACTAAATAAGATAAATGCAAACAGAAGAAACTAGTCCATCGTTTTCATTCCATTTTAAATTTTCTCTTTTTAAAAATCACTACCATCTTTCAATATTTGCCGGGAAGTAGGTATGACAGAAAGATGCACGTTATATATTTTTGTAACAGCACTAAGAATAAATGATATGAACTTATGCACGTTGAGGCAGCTACACTCTTTCAGGATCCTTATTGTCCCAGCTATTTTTCCTTGGCTTTCTTCTACATTTTCCAAAACTTTCATTTTAGCTCCGATCTTCATAGCTTGCTTTGTATTCATTTTACATTCCCAATTTTGAACTAAGCATGCAAACTATTCCTTTCGTATAAAAATTTCTCTGCTTTCACTTCTTAAAAATAAGCAACGTTGTCTTATTTCTTGGGAGACAAGCAGCATTTTACCAGTGTCCATTGTTTGTCTTCACTACCATTCTGAACTCCAGGCTTGACCTTGCCACAGCAACTTCAAAGTAAAACAGCTACATGCTTTGTGTGCTGCCACTTCCCAGGGAAATATGCAGCTTCACAAAAATTGTAAGAAAACCTATGTGCGTTTATTTGTCAAATTTATATAGCTGCCTATTTCACAGAAAGCAACTGTTAAGTGTACCAGTTTGCACATTTACTTCAGATTTTTTTTTCTAATTTCACACATACTAGTGTTGCTTTCCCAGTATAAAAAAAAAACAATTTTCCAAGCAATTGAACCTGGCATGGTAACTTCCAATTAACATAGACATCCTGGTGGGGATGAGGTTTTTTGCTGAGCAATAGAGCGCTAGCAATAGGCACAATATATGCACAATTATTTCCATATTTTAAACCAGAGTTCCCCAACCTTTCAGGCTTTGTGGACCAGCAGGGGAGGATGGTTCCGCACAATGGACTGGCAAGCGCCCACATGTGCATAGCTCCATTTACACAAGCTGCGTGCACATGTGACTGCCACTCACGCAAGTGGGGATGGGCATGCACGCTCACTCGTTCACCCGTTTCCATGGCACAGTAGCAAACTCACAGTTCGCTAGTGAGCTGTGGCCCAAAGGTTGGAGACCTGTTTTAGACTTCTGCTTATAGAGGTACTGTCAACGCTGCTAACATCGGATGTTTTGGCTTTGACAACAGATGGAGATGTAGCCATTTTCTTATTTTCGCTTTTAGAGTTAGATGATGCTGGGGAGGGGGGCGATGTGCATGAGAGTTCAGCTAGACATAATAATACTAGACCTAGCGTGAGAATCAAGGTTGTTGAAATAAGAGATGATAAGAATTGGCGGGCTGGAGGGCAAGCCCGCACTTTAAACTAATTGGGGAATGTGATTTATGGTTGTTAATTGGAGGAGGGAATTGTACTTTGATACTATGTGCTCAATGGGGGGGATTCAGTTTTTGGCTTTGATTATGTTTATGCCGATATTATGCATCTTGAATAAAAATTATTTAAGGTAAACAATGCGTCGAAGGTCTTTGAAGAGTTTCATCTGTTGGAACCATGAAAGGTACATCATTGGTCCCTTTAGGTTAGTATCAACTGGACAATGATTGGCAATATATATCCAAGATTTTGCACACAAGCCTTGACTATACTTAGGTAATACTACTGAACCATTCACTCATCATCCCCACAACTCAGATACTGCAAATCCTCTGCACTCTGCTACAGTAACATGTTTGTCAATACAGATAGTCCTCGACTTACAACAGTTCATTTAGTGAACATTCAAAATTACAACGGCACTGAAAAAAGGGACTTACGACCTTTTCCACACTTACACCATTGCAGCATCCCCATGGCCATGGGATCAAAATTCAGATGCTTGGCAACAGACTCATATTTATGGCGGCTGGAGTGTCCCAGGGTTATGTGATCCCCTTTTGTGACCTTCTGACAAGCAGAGTCAATGGGGAAGCCAGATTCACTTAACAACTATGTTACTAATTTAATAACTGCAGCGACTCATTTAAGAGTTGTGGCAAGAAAAGTTGTAAAATGGGGCAGAACTCACTTAACAATTGTCTTGTTTAGCAAAGGAAATGTTGGGCTCAATTGTAATCGTACGTCAAGGATTACCTGTATATGTAGACGGTAAGGAAAATGACCTTGAGAGAAATATGCAGAAATCACTATCTAGACCAGGGGTAGGCAACCTTGGCTTTTTTATGATACATGGACTTCAACTCCCAGAATTCCTGAGCTTCTGGGAGTTGAAGTCCACGAGTCATAAAAGAGCCAAGGTTGCCTATCCCTGATCTAGACAAAAGTGGTTAAAATATTTTTCAAATCCAGAATAATAACATTTGTGAAGAGCTCAGGCAGACACTTCCCTAATTCATTGGAACAGCAGGAGGAGGAGGAGGAGGAGGAGGAGGAGGGGGAGGAGGAGGAGGAGGAGGAGGAGGAGGAGGAGGAAGTAGTGCAGTGCAATCAGGCTTGCATGATTTTGTTATTACAGGCAATCTCAATAAAAATAGTTTTAGCCTTCTTCTGGAGTTGATTTCCTGGTCTGGTCTACCTAGTAGGCCTCACTATATATCTCTAGTGATAGAAGGGGCATTGTCTTACCTGAACGCCTTTTCTCAGCACGGAGATGGAGGATCCACCCATGGGTAGTAGACTGTCTTCCTGCCCAATCAGATTAAGTCAGCCAAAGTTGCCACGCCCGTCCTGGACCATAGACTCCAGTCTTGACGCGAGCGAAGCCATTGACTGACATAGGACGTACTGGCTCAGAAACTAAACTATCCTAGGTAATAATGCCCCAAAAGAAATAGGGGGGGAAGGTGGATCCTCCATCTCCGTGCTGAGAAAAGGCGTTCAGGTAAGACAACGCCCCTTCTCCAGCACTGGAGATGGAGGATCCACCCATGGGACATACCAAAGCCTACTGTCCCTTAGGGTGGGAAATAGACTGGTCCGGTGTGGCACTTTGATGGAGGACCTGTTGGAGGACCCTCCTACCGAAGGAGGCCTCCGCGGATGCAAATTTATCTATTTTATAGTTCCGGATAAAAGGAGAAGGTGAGGACCAAGTGGCCGCTCTGCAGATGTCCTCTATGGACGCCTGAGTATCCCAGGCCGCAGAGGTAGAAGCACTCCTGGTGGAGTGGGCCGTGACCCCTCTTGGAACCGGCAATGATGCAGCCTGATATGCCCCGGCGATGCACTTCCTGATCCACCTGCCAATGGTGGACGAAGAGACCTTCCGACCCCTTGAAGAAGGGTGGAAAGATACGAACAGGGCCTCCGATTTACGGAGATCCGCTGTTCGTGAGATGTAATAACTGAGCGCCCTGCGGACATCCAAGCTATGCCATTGTCGCTCCTGGGCACACGAAGGGTTCGGACAAAAGTCCGGGAGTACAATGTCCTGGTTCCTATGGAATGTTGAATTTACCTTCGGGATGAAGGTGGGATCGAGTCGGAGGACCACCCTGTCTGGGCGGAAAAAACACAGGTCCTTGCGGACCGAGAGCGCCGCCAGCTCGGAGATACGTCGAGCCGACGTGATTGCCACTAAAAAGGCCACTTTGTGAGTAAGGTATTGAAACTCGCATGATCTCAGGGGTTCGAAAGGCGGCCTCGTGAGGGCCAGAAGTACTCGCGGCAAGTCCCAGGACGGGTACCTATGTACCGTAGGCGGCCTGGTATTTGCCGCACCCCTGAGGAAAGATTTAATCCATGGGTGATGCCCTAACGACTCTACAGAGTCACAGGATAGAACCGTGGACAGAGCAGCTACCTGCCTGCGTAATGTGTTCGGGGCTAGGTCCCGCTCCAGACCCTCCAAGAGATATTCCAAAATATGAGGGACAGTGAGTTGAACAAGTGACAACTGCTTCCTGGAGCACCAAGATTGGAAACTCCGCCATGTGGACTCGTAAATTCGGTTAGTGGAGGGACGACAAGACGCTTGAATTACATTGATCACCCCTGTGGAACAGAGCTGTCCTGACAAGCAAGACCGCTCAAGCGCCAAACGGCTAACTGGAGCCATTGGGGATCCTGATGGAGGATTAAACATGCCACTGAATGTCGGAGCATCAGGGGAAGTCTCCTCCTCCTCGGACATTGGTAACCCCTGGTCAGTGCCCTGGTCGTGGAGGGAAAGGCCCTCTGAGTACGAGGATCCTGATGGTGAGGAAGGTGCTTTATAAGTCTCCTCATCCTGACCTTGTGTAGGGGTGGGATTCACAATCGGAGGTCTAGGCGGAATAGCCCTGGCGTTCAAGGCGCTGTCAACTGCTTGCGCAATCAAGAAGGTCAGGCGCTCCTCCGAAGGCATGGGGACAGACTCCGTAGGTCGGAGGCCTGCAGCTGTAGGGGTGAAAGTTGCCTCTGGGGGGCCGTAATGTGACCGCGGAGCAGGAGGTACGGGGGAATGAGAGAGTTCTCCCGTAGTCCATCCCCTCGGGGAAAAGGCTGGAGGTCCCAAGGGTAGAGTGTATGTTAATCCCTCGGTTTGAGGGAGATCTAGTCTAGCTGCCTTTTGTGCTCTAGAAAACTCCTTTTCAAGGGCCTGATGTCTCCGGCTGGCTTGTTTGTCTGCCCTCTTGGAGGTCAACAAGCATCTGGACGGGAACCAAAATCTACGTCCGTACAGTCTTGGGAGGTCTGACCCACGAGCGGCAGACATTAAGGTGGGTAGAGGAGGCGCAGCGGCTTCTGAAGAAGAATTGGTAGCCTCCATTCTCCGATAGCACAGGGGCTCGAGTGGGACCCCCTGGTATCTAGAGAGTACACCTCTGGGTGAGGACACACACACTGTGGGTACGTATGGGACCCAGGTACTTTTAGGAACCCACTGAATAATATTATTGGTCGGAAAAGGACAGGCACACTATCAGTATGTCTGGAATCCGGCCTAATTTGAGGAGGAAAAGGACAGATGCTCTGATGGAACACCTGGAATCCTCGTGACCAAATGTCAAATAACAGTCACGAAAAGAGTGACTTTGTTCCTTAAGGCAAGCAAGCAGACTAGGAGACACGAGGGCCTGAGGAGGAATTTTGTAGGGCTGTACAGGATCCCTATCACAAGCTAAATCTAACTGCTGATAATGTGGGGTGAGATTCCAGTCAGAGGAGGACCTCAAAATGGCGGCCGGACCTCAAATGGCGGCCTATTGAATACTGGGCGTTGTGTGCAATGCCAAGCTCCCCCCTTTTCCACTTAAGTGACTGTTTCTTTTAAACCTGAGAGTAAAATATAGTCTGGGAAAGCCCTTTAATTCTTCCGAAACTGATAGTTCTCCGGCTAATTTGCTCGATGCGCGGTTCAAAATGGCGGCCACGCGTTATGGTAATGAGCCCTGAACGAGCTGCAAGGCTTCCCCGGCTATCTCCCTCCTCGCGCGGTCCAAAATGGCATCCGCGCGCGGTGGAATCAACCCTTCACGGCGAGCTGCAATGCCTGAGGGAAGCAGTTCCGAAGGACAAGGAAACCCCTGCTGGCGCGCCTAATATGCAAATGGGGGACGAACGGCCGTTCGTCAGTCCCTTGAGCCAGCAGGACTCCCTTGCCGTTCGCGCCCTTTCTCCGGCCTTTTGTCGGCGATCAGCGAGAGGGCTACCTTCCAAACTGTTTCTCGAGCGGCAAAGCAGTCCCGAGGATCTAAGGTGTGCGCGCGCTCGCCTCCCTTGCCGATTCGAAAGGCCCCGGTCACAAACGGCCTGCAACGAGGCCCGCTTGCAGCAGGACAAACTTTTTACACTCCGTCCGTCACCGGGCCGCAGCCGCGAGCTCCGGTGAGAACGGATCCAAATAGAGGTTGGGGGAGGAGAGGGGCGAGAAGGATCCCCTTCTCGGGAAAGGAGAGGGGTGAGAAGGATCCCCTTCTATCTGGTAATACTGGGAGGGAGGAAAAAGAGAAGGAGCCTTTCTCCCAATTGAAGGCTTGGAAAATTTTTCTAACAGTTCCCCAAATTTCTCGAAATTAAGCTAAAACAGCCAAAGAAGGTGGAGGATTCACCAGTAGCCAAGACTATACCTGCCTAAGAGCCAGAGTTACACGTCCGTCCATGGGCAAGATTAAGTCAAGACTGGGGTCTATGGTCCAGGACGGGCGTGGCAACTTTGGCTGACTTAATCTGATTGGGCAGGAAGACAGTCTACTACCCATGGGTGGATCCTCCATCTCCAGTGCTGGAGAATGAGAATCTTTCCATAAAGCCCTTCTTGCTTTTGTTATTAAGGACCAAAGTAAGAAATAGTACAATATCAAAAACATAAGAGCCAGTCTGGTCTAGCGGTCAAAGCACCAGGCTAGAAAGCAAGAGACCGTGAGTTCAAATCCCGCCTTTGCCATGAATGCCAACTGAGTGACCTTGGGCCAGTCATTCCCAGCCCAACCCTCCTCACAGGGTTGTTGTTGTGGGGAAAATAGGAGGAGGAGGTTGGGTTGGATATATTTACCACCTTGAATTACTTGTGAAAATAATAAAGGTGGGATATAAATGAAATGAATGAATGAATGAATGAAAACATATCTAGTGTTTTAGCTAAGTGGTCAACTTGCTTCAAATATATGATGCTACTGGTAGTGTAATAAGCATCTTAAAGGAATGAGGGTGAGGGAAACGTCTTTAAAACTACCACCGGATTGATCAGAATTGTCCTTGAATTCCAGATGAGATTCAGGGACAAAGTCAACTTTGAAGATACTTTAACAAGATCATAGAGGCCCTGAAATCTGAAGAAGGGACTTTGAAATTCGTAAGTCAAGTTATTAACTACCACATCATAGCAACATTATCTTTCTTTCTATAGCAAAACTGCCATCTTCCCCACCCAACATATACCTTTGAAAATCACAACCTTGTAATAAATGAAGTCAGGTTTCCTTCTAGCCCAATAAGGGTTGTAAGTAAATAGAACATAATTAAAGATCTAAAAAAAAATAGTCAAAAGAATCCCAGAGAATGACATAGTTTTGAATGAAAGATCACTTTACTTTTTTTTTAAAAAAGAAATTGGAGCCAAGCACTATCAGGAATTAAGATAAGAAAGCTTCAAGCTTCAGCTCCGTTTTCTTTGCGGCAGATAGCCTTTACAGACACACAAAAAAAGCAAGCTGCAAAAGAGACAGCCAGAAGCCACTGCATTAGTAGGAATTAAACTGCTTACCTATAATTCCACTGTCCTTGCTTTCCAATGTGGAGCTTGGGCTGCTAATGGTCCCACAGGGACTACTTTTGTTGGCCGCTGTTTTGTCAGCACAGCTATTCAGAGTAGAGCAGGGACTATCGGTGCTAGGAGACGTAGTGCTGCTCGTTAGTGTAGAACAGGGACTGACTCCTTGACTAGCTACTGTGCACTATAAAATGAATGAAACAAGGAATTAACAAACATAGCACAGATCAATACACAAAGAGAACAGTTCATATTCAGCAGGGGGAGGAAAAAAAACTGCACAGACATACAAAGTTCCCTCGGATGTTTCTCAGAATGATCTGTTGAATCCTTTTTAAGAGAGTTAGTACAGCCATGACCACATAAGAAGTTGAATCAACTTATGGACCTTTGACACTCTAGGCCAGAACTGTAAAGGATTTTCTGAAATATTGGTGGAAAACCATCTTGCTAAACGCCAACAATACAAAACCTGGCTATTGGGTTTTCAGGATGAAGGGAAAATGCAGATTATATTCCATTAGCTTTTTTTTAAAAAACCCAGAAGGTTATAGAAGATCTTATTTAAAACCATTTGGTCATAACTGATTATAGGTTTAGAACGAAGCAAATTAATAAACCACATATTCTTTATTTAGTTAGACAGAGGTCCCATCCTTTAAATATTTTGTAGAGGATTTTCCTATATCATGCTAAACAATAAATCTGTCTAATTGAAAAAACATTTAATTCAATATACACAGAGTTCATATGCAAAGTAACTATGCATGTTGCACTGTGAAGAAAAAAAATCATCATCTCCAGTTGCATCATGACCCAGAACTGATTTCCAAATGTCAAACAAAAATTGTATACAGTTATTTTTTCTGCCAGGAGAGAATTTCATTTAGCTTTTCACAGATCCAGCAAGTCAAGTATCCTACATACCCTTTTTCATTGTGGCCTTAGACAAGAGAGGGGTAAGATTTTTAAAAATATTTTCTAGGGCAAGTAGTTTGAATCATCTGAATTAAAAATAATTACTCAATAGTATTCTAATAATTCTATGTGGGGTATCTTGAAGTAGTGTTTCTGTAGAAAAAGCAAAGAAAAATACCAATAAATGTATCACTTGTTTATTACAGGCTACAACTGAGCCCAAAGTTTCTGTTGCTAAATGAGACATTTGTTAAGTGAGTTTTGCCCCGTTTTACGACTTTTCTTGCCACCGTTGTTAAGTGAATCACTACAGTTGTTAAGTTAATAAGACTGCTGTTAAGTGAACCTGGCTTCCCCATTGACTTTGCTTGTCAGAAGGTCGCAAAAGGGGATCACATGTCCCTGGGACACTGCAGCCATCATAAATATGAGTCACCTGCCAAGTGTCTGAATTTTGATCCCGTGACCCTGGGGATGCTGCAACGGTCGTAAAGTGTGGAAAACGGTCATAAGTCACTGTTATAACTTTGAACGGTCACTAAATGAACTGTGTTAAGTTCGAGGACTTCCTGTAGTTATTTGTTTGACACATTTACATGTTTGGGTGAAATATTTTGAAAGCAAGAAATACGTAGCATCTTCCATTCGCATACCATAGTTTCATGTTTTTCTTCTGCGGAGATGTGGGCAGAAGCTGGAAGCCCTTCTCCCAGTAAAAACCCAAGTCTTGTCATTAGTTCCTGAGCTGCTGGTGAACAGCTTGATTCCTTCTCTGACTTTGCTTCTGTTCAAAAAGAGGTAAATTCAAGGGAACGAAAAAGATTAATTAAAGTTTATATTCACTTCAAATGAGTGTGGCTTCCAGCATAAAGGCAAATAATGAAGTTTAAACAAGTTATTATCAACTATTTTTATTTTGTCATATTTAACAAAACTCCATTAAAAAAACACCTTTATTTTCCTTTTATTAAATGGAACTCCCCATATAAAGGGAGAGCCTAGCACACCTTTAACTTCTGAAACTGAAGAATTAAATTAGGTGTAAATACTAGCTCTGCAATCTACAACTAAATTATTTCGGTTTTGCATCCAACCTGAGTTTTTAGAATATAAAGAATGCCTTTCTCTTTCACCCATAAGTAGAATCTGAAGATGCTATTTTTTCCATGGATGAAAACACAAAAATGCACAGATTATGTTTGTAAAAGTTATGTGGTCATACATGAGTCTCTTTTATGTACATGTGTGCCTATGTGGATGTACAGTATGTGTCTACACACCTATACCTATATTCTTATGGAAATTAATAGCAACTTCTTAAAATGATTTAGACTGGGAGATGACCAAAAGAGGTCAATGTGATTTTCCCAGGCTCTTCTCTGCTAACAGAAGAGCCTGGAAAAATCTTCTCATCTTTCTCATCTTTCGTACTATCTTCTCCTATTGGTATCTTATGATTTATCACTTATTGTTTATATCTTATCATTAATTATTGTAACTATGATTTATGATCTATGACTTACCACTTTGTTCTTTGAACGTACGCTGAGAGCTTTTGGACCAGAGACAAGTACCTTATGTATCCAATCACACTTAACCAAGAAAAAATTCTATTCTATTCTAACAAAACAAATCTATGATAGTATTTCATGACTGATCATATGAAACAATTCAGTTAGCAGCTATGCTATCAACCAAAATAGCTTCAGGCTTCCTAGATGTTATATTTGTTATATTTGGTTGTTTGCATTGCTAAATTCCTGTAAAATAAATATATTTAACAAATAAATTTGTTTTATGTTTTAAATTGCACCAAAAACTCCATGAGTAAACAAGCATGGTTGTTTTAGAAGAGCATTGCCTTTTTAATTCTTGCAATCAAATAAATATTCTAGCATACTTATCCTCCCATATACAGAACAAATAATCAGAAAATTAATCAGACTTGCCTCCAGACATTGTGGGTGCTCCAACACTGGAGATTTTTAAGAAGAGATTGGACAACCATTTGACTAAAATGGTATAGAGTTTCCTGCTTGAGCAGGGGATTGGACTAGAAGACCTCCAAGGTCCCTTCCAACTGTTGAATAGAATCAATAGCTGGAAAGGAGGTATTTAAATGGAAGAAACATCCTCACCCATAGCTGATACATAATCCACTTTCTACCATTGTACCTTTGTTTTATATGAAGGTATAGACAAAAATTCCAACCAGAATGTGTCATATCAGTATTGATTAGCCTAGAGTAGCCCAACAGCAAGATAGGCAGCAAGTAAATTTAACAAATAAGTGACATGATAAAAGATAAAACAATCTTAATAACAATACAATTTTAAATGATGTCTATTTACAGGACAACGTTCTAAAGCAAGGATCCACATGCTTCAGTTTTACTTGGCAATTCATTTTCTTCTAGCTAAGGGAATCTTCATGTCCAAACACAGTTAATTCTGAATCCCAGATGCTCAAGACAAGAAGGGGAATGATCTTGTCATCATATAATACTTGCACGCTTTGTACATAGATTTTGCAGCTGTTTGCTGTTGGAATCATGATATAGGAAATCGAGGCAAAAAAAAACCTACCTACAGCAGTAACCTGATTACAAGAAAAAGACAATGTTTAATCCACACAACACACAATTCCTATGACCACATTTTGCTGTCGTCACTGTGGTTGACACTACAAAAAAAAAGCAACTTTGTGAGACAGAGATTCAAATAACTTGCCCAAAGCCATATTCTGGGAAGTCAACATCACATTGACTAAGTTTACTCAACTCACTAAAACATAGTTTGTTTAATCAGGACTTTTCAATAATTACTGAAGCTAGTTTCTCATATCATATTAAAACAAGACAAGACAAAGTTAATGTATTGTATGAACAAATGCTTTGTCTTCTTCTCTAATGTATTAACTTTTCTTTCAACCTTTTTTTTTATACCTTGTTTCAAGAAGCTTTTGCATGGATGAATGTTTTGTGAAAAGTAGAGGATGAAGTAAAAGGCCTAATCTAGAATTGAAAATATATACATTTAGAAAGCCTTCTTTTTACAGTGAATGATGCTGCCAGAGCTTTCCTAACAACAGAAAATCCAATTTAATTCCTCATCAGAGACAAATCAAATTTCTCTGAATTCCATTCAATCCTATGTTAGGTCATTTATCCCACCTATTAAATTTGCCAAAGATTCAAGATGCTTAAATCAAAATATTGCAATTTAATTATCATTTGCCCACAATTATGAGCCAAAGCACCTCCACTCCAACCAGCTCCACAATCCTTTACCCAGCAGATTGCAGAAGCGCAGTGCTCCTGGGACAAGCAGACAAACTTTCTCCAAAATAGAATTGGCTTTTCCTAGCTAAAATAAACAAACTGAGTAGGTAGGCATTAGAAAAAAACATCTAATAAAGACTTGTATGGATCTGATCTGAGAATGCTTTTATAATGTAATGAAAGTTAAAAGATATAATCTTACCACGTCTGTGAGATATGCCATGGCATTCATATAATGTCTGCTATGCCAAAAATCTTACTTAGCAATGGCTTTGCTATTTGAATCCATTCATCAAGATCCTTTCTCAAACAATTGTGATTACTATA